CCCCAAAACCCCAAAACCCCAAAACCCCGCAATGATTGATGTTGAAAATAACTTTTACTTGTATTTATCAATTTTCAAAACCAAATTCATTTATTAATTTTCAGAACAATCTATGCTCATTAACAATCACAGATTTTTAAATCTTCTGCTCTCAGCTTTCTTAAGTTCCATTTTCTCCATGAGTTGCTTTTTCAAAATCTCAAATCTACTCATAATCTTCACATCTACTTTATCTAATGCATCGACTATCAAAGTTGGAGCATCTACAGCTAGTGTTGGAAAGACACCCTCATTACTGTTATTGATAGAATGAATGAATTTATTCTATCTAGCATCATAAATGTTGCAATTTTCCAGATCATCTGGTAGTAGTAACTCAAGAGATTTACACATTACATATGAAATATCATGTAGGCTTCGAAGATGAAGGATAACTTAAGTCTCAGGAGCATGGATTTAGAACTTACCATTTTCCACTGCATTTAATTGAATTCTACTCTGAGACTTCTAAGTCAAGTTAACAACTCCCTGCATATTTTCAATATAGATCTAATTGTTACCGAAGATATTCAACCCTTCATTGTAATAATGATTGTTTGATCTAAACTATCCTAATATTTTATCGATACTTGTACTCAAGTATAATGCTTCGGGAAGATGAGCCATGTTTGAGAACACAGACCCAATCTGTATCAAACCATTTTAGGTCTTTAGTGTTCCTCTTTAATTTATTCCTAGCTTCTTATTAATAAGCACATTTCCTGAGTTTGTTTCCAAGTTAAGAACACCTGTCTCGATATATGAACCTACCAATATGTTGCCATCATTTGTTTTAAGTTTGCACTCATCATTCCTCAATCTTCTCGTTTAAATTTAAGTGTTGCTACCTGTAGTTTCTAGATGAACCTTTTTCGCTATGAGCTTCGTATCCTTCATATTTACTCCAGTGATATCTCCATTAACATGCACATCTAGATTGAAGTCTTGAGGGATATGTGCATAAAGATCAAAGTAATTTGCTTTGTCCTTATCTTATTATTTAAATATCTCAAAATTTTCACAAATCAGTTCAGAATCATCACCTTGATTGTCAACTCTTAAATTAAAGTCAGAGTGATCTACATTGACATATTTATTCCTATCTGCAAAGGCGAAATTTTCCTCGTTATTTTTACTTAAGTCACTGTAGTTAATGGGAGTGTCATCAGAATCAACTAAATCAGAAGAAGTTTTGTACAAACTGAAATGAGAAAAATCGTTCCAGAAGGTAGAGTAGTGGAAATTCAACTGGTCACTTAAGAGTTTTTCATCCTAGTGGAACTTAAATAAATTCCCCTAGCCATTTTCACATAGTCTAGAGAAAACCAAAGCCTTATTTTGAGTAGTTATATTTCTTGTTGTAATAACTCTCAGAGCAGAGCTATTCTTTTAAGTCCTCTATAGAAATGTCTTCATTGAAATAGAATTAAAGATTATTATATTTTTAATACCCTAGATTTTAATTACCCACTTATATATTAAATGTCAGTTGATGGGGTTTTGGGGTTTTGGGG